TTTAACTCCATCCAGCACCACTCTTTGGTGGTGTCACTGTGTGGTTTTTTTCCTCATCCCATTACAGCCTTGCTTCTTTTCCCTGCAACGTTCCTATTTCATAGTTGCTATGACAATTTGCAGCATTACATATACTGCTACACACATGTAGAGATTGAGAAAGACTGCTTTCTTTTACAGGATTTAATAATATTACGCCTTGAGTGGGACAACTATGCTCAGCCCTGCTGGTTACCTGCTCTAGTAGGCTAGTTAGATGCTCTAATCCAATCTAATTCTGATTCAATATCATCCTCAGGCACAGATAGAGCTCACGACCTACCCTTTACAGAACAGGATCAAGCCTGTGAGATGAACCAGTAACAGTAAATAAAAAGCCATCACACTCAAGGTGGCTTCAGTGCGTGGAAGCGATTTTGAGAGATTTTACAACTTGATGCAAAGGGAGACTAAGCAAATAAATAGGTAAAAACCGAAATAGAGACTTAGGGATTGCACGCTGATTAACAGGCATGGAGAGTCAGGTCCTGTCCATTTTTTTGTCCTCTTATCCTTGCTTTTAACACATAACCTTGAAGACATGCATTACTCCTTCTGACTACCCTTGAACACGTTTGTCTCCAAAGCTGAAGGGCTCCTCAGGATTATAGCAGCTCTGCCAAGTCCCCCAGAAAGGGCTATCAACACCAAGCACATCTCATCCTTCAAACTGCTCCAGAAGGGCTCCCATCTGGACATCAATAAAACCCCAAACAGTTATTTTAAGCCTGTTTTGGGGAGGGGAAACAAATGCCTGTACGTGTGTCCTCTAGTTTTCAATCGGGGTGAACCAAATAAAAGCTCAAATCACATTTCTGTTTGCACAGTCCAGTTATCAAGTGTCTGCTCTTCCCCATGACGTGCCTAATGAACTAGGGCCAGGTCCCTGCAGGGTATCAGTCACCCTGACCGCAGTAGGTACACAACTTATCACAGCTGAAAATTTAGCTGTTCCACATCAAGAAGCCTGTTTTGGGGAGGGGAAGCAAATGCCTGTACGTGTGTCCTTTAGTTTTTAATCCGGGTGAACCAAAGAAACACTCAAATCACATTTCTGTTTGCATAGTCCAATTATCAAGTGTCTGCTCTTCCCCATGACGTGCCTAATGAACTAGGGCCAGGTCCCTGCAGGGTATCAGTCACCCTGACCGCAGTAGGTACACAACTTATCACAGCTGAAAATTTAGCTGTTCCACATCAATTTTTTTCCTCCAATACTTCATTTTCTGGTGGACCTGCCCCTTCTTTTGCCCTCACGCCAAACGCCGCCGCTACAAAAGCTAAAAACATACCATAATATCCATAGTCTTAACATCTGACCCGCAGCAACGTGCTTGCGATCATCTTAACGCTTATCTGATAAACTAATGCTTTATGGAAGCAATTATATTCCATCTATATTGCTTTATGTTAACATACTCTGAAGGGCTAGCACACTCCGTCTCCCTCCTCCCTCACAAAGTCATTAAAAATATAAAAAAAAGAAACTGGATATCGGCTGGCTCGGCAGGAGGAACCATTTGACATTCCTCAGTCAGAGGAGGCAGAAAGGGAGGTAATTGTAAATTGGAGTGGACAATCACAGCGTCGGTGCTCCTTGTGGTACAATCTGTTGTCTCCAGTATGGTTGTGGGGACAACCTTCAGGGCTAGGCTTCCTCAGAGATTTATAACCTCCCCGCTGTCCGATGGCACAGCCAAGCAAGTACAATACCACGCTGTTCCCTTCTGTGCTGGAAGGCCCCGTGAACCTCAGAATCACAGAATCTTCATGGTTGGAAAGGACCTCTGAGGTCACAGAGTCCATCCATACACACACACACAAAAGACCCCCACAATCTCAGGCACTAGAGCATGCCCTGAAGTGCCACCTCTACACAGTTCTTAAATACCTCCAGGGATGGTGACTTCACCACCTCCCTGGGCAGGCCATTCCAGGGCCTGACCACCCTCTCAGGAAAGTCACTCTTCCTGATATCTCATCTAAACCTCCCCTGCCCCAACTTCAGACCATTTCCTCTGCTCCTGTCATGATTCCCTTGGGAGAAGGGGCCAACCCCCACCTCTCTCCAGCCTCCTTTCAGGGAGTTGGAGAGGGCAATGAGGTCTCCCCTCAGCCACCTCTTCTCCAAACTGAACATACCCAGTTCCCTCAGCCTCTCCTCGTAGGACTTGTTCTCCAGACCTCTCACCAGCTTGGTGGCTCTCCTCTGGACACGCTCCAGCACCTCAATGTCCTTCTTGTAGTGAGGGGCCCAGAACTAAACACAGCACTCGAGGTGAGGCCTCACCAGTGCCCAGTCCAGAGGCACCATCACTGCCCTACTCCTGCTGGCCACGCTGTTCCTGATCCAGACCAGGATGCTGTTGGCCTTCTTGGCCACCTGGTCACACTGCTGGCTCATGTTCAGCCGACAGTCCACCAACACCCCCAGGTCCTTTTCTGCCAGGCAGCTCCAGCCACTCTTCCCCAAACCTGTAGCGTTTCTTGGGGTTATTGTGACCAAAATGCAGGACCCAGCATTTGGCCTCGTTGAACCTCAACACCCACCTCCAATGTATGTTCTTCCACGTCCTGACTTCAGAGGAAGCTCGCAAAATCTCCCATTGATCCACCAGCAGAGCAGTTAGGTCAAAGCTAACATCAGCCTTGTTTATACCCCTCTTCTCCACTCTGCTGGTTTTATTTTGTTTATCTCCTGCACCTGGGTTAATTGCTGCAATTGAGTGGTTGGGGTGCTGCAATGGGATGTAAATGAAGAAGGAAAAAAGGAAGGGGAAGGACCTGGGTGGGCTGCAGAGGCATTAGGAAAAGCCAGACCAGCTGCATCCTGCAGAAACTCAGATCAGCTGAAAACTATAATACGCACTTTTAAATGTTAATGGCGCAAATTCAATAGCAGGGTTAAGATTGTTGGTGTTGTTTTTTTGCTGACTGCTGCAGGGAGTCCTGGCAGCATCCTGGATGTGCAGCACACACCCAGTGCTCAGGCCACTTCTGGGCTGGAGTTTTTCCTCTCCACCCCACTGCAGGACAAGCCTTGGGTCATTCTGTCCTCCAAGATCAGGAATGGTACAGTCAGCTTACAGAGCTCTAATTTATTATCAAGCATGAGCAACATGAACAGCTGCCCAGTTTTCTTGCTAGAATTAATACACAGTCACTCAGACCAGCAAGAGGTCTCCTCTGAATGCTCATTGAATGCTGGCAGGGACTTTTACTGTCTTCATCCTTCCTTGAGAGGCTGTAGGAACAGCAGGCGATGGCAAGGTGGAGCATGTGGATGGGTCTAGATTGCACCATTGAGGCCCATGGCCTCTTAGACCTAAAAAAGGTCTAAGAAAGAGAAGTCATCTTTGCCTGTTACCGTAGCCCACCGTTTTCCCCTCCTCCTACAAACCTGTCAACGTGAATCAAGAAACTGTTTTTCTCCCAGCATAACTGAGTCTCAGTGCAGAAGAAATGTCTTAGCTCTGCTGGTAGAAAAGCATTTTTCAGAGATGTGAGATTTTTTGGTGCCTGTCACTCCCCCAAGAGAGTCTCCCCAAGCAAAGAGAGGTTACGAAGCAGAACAAGACATGAAAGGGTCTTTGGGTACCACAGATGTTAGCATCTTTCAGTGACAAACCTGTTACCTGAGCTATGGTCTGAATAAAAGTGTCATTGCCCAGAGTCAATTTCTGGTTCCTTTAGGGTCATTTCCCATCATATTCTGCACTGATCTTCTTGTACCATGGAACACCACCAACAGCCATACATCCATACATCAGAGCTCCACCTATTCCTACCAAAACTACCAAGTAAACAGCATTATCACTTCTGGAAATGCAGCTGGCCTTAGGTGACATCTTCCATGTCACATAGTCCCCTACCCACTAGGCCAGATGTGTAGCAACTGCTGGGAGTGCCAACAGTTACTGCGATAGAAATGAACTAAATTCTTTTCTTATTTCACGTTTTAAATAGCACCTGCAGCTACACTTTAGCATTGGCACCAATATAGCCCTTACCCTACAATTAGCTCTGAGCAACCACTTCAGAAAGGCAGAAAAGGAACACACACTTTAGAAACAGCAATTGGTCCTCATCCCAAACACGAAGAGACCTCAAAGACACCCATCACCCCTCAGAAGTGCTTTGGGGGGAGACACCTTTTCTCCTAAATCATCTTCTCAATTAATACAATTGAATGAAACTCGTGGCACTACTGGGGGGGTCGTATTTTCAAGCGTTCAAGGATGCTTCAGGCATATTAAGGATGGAGTTGAAAAGTTTTTAACTTCAAAGCTCTCATTAACAAAACAGCATTTTAAGATTCCTTTTTTTTTAAAAACGATCAAAAAGAAAAAAAACTCTTGCTAACGGCTTTTAAAATACATTGTAGCTAAAATCTCTTTATAAATATAATGGCCCACATTTCCAGCCTTGCTTTTTTGGGCAATCCACACACATAGGTCCCTGGCATCATTGCATGCTAGCTCTTGCTTTCATGTCAGGTTAACGTAGTCTCCTCTTTTCAATTAGCACTTACAATAAGATGTGGACAGATGCCCAGAAAGACCTCGACGTCCAGCTCCAGAGAGAAAGAGAAGAGTTCCTCCAGCCAGAGAAGGACCACGTGAAAGCATTCAAGATGTTGGCCGGTTCCTACATCAAATACATGCAAATCTTCCGAAATTTGGAGACGGCCCACGACCAACTCCTTCACCAGCAGAAGCGGGCAGTGATTCGGCAAGTGCTAGATGGCGTGATTGGCCGGATCCTGGAGATGAAAAAAGAGATGGTGGGGCTGGAGAACTCAGAGTTTCATTACATTGACAATATCCTGGAAGATCTAAAGCTTCTCCCGGTAGGTCTACCTCCATTATGAGAAAAGTCATAGGAATTTTGCCTGTCCTGTGTTTTAATGACAGTCACATTTACTTACAGTCTGGGAAGTTCCACCCAGTAATTTAGTTTCCTGCACGTTCACTGGTGTACTGGCTGATCAGTACTTAGGGCATTTTTGTTAATGATCAGAGTATATTTGATCAATGATGAGCATTAGATACTGCAGCAAGATTTTAAAAGCTGATCTGCTTGATGAGTGTGTTGCATTTCTCCATCTCTGTAGCAGCACGTGCTCTGTGGATCTTTCACTTGCAACATGTCCTAAACATGAAGCCATATTAATTTAGGCAGCTTCACTGTTAATTACAGCAGCGTGACTCTCCCTAATTTTAGTGTGGGATTAGATAGAAGATGGACAACTGATAACCAAGGTGCAGTCCACTTGAGTCTGCCCTTTGCATCACTGTGAATCAGCCTGGCTTCAGGCCTTTTGCACAGATCACAAGTAATGCTGAAATTTGCATCGTCTGGTCTATTTGTTTGTAGTACAATGACCCACTAAAATAAGAAATCTGGTAGTATAAAGGAGGCAGGAGCATATTCCACCTCCAGGGGTGAGGGCTGCCTGATGTATAGAATCACAGAATTGCCCAGGCCAGAAGGGACCTCCAAAGGCCATCTAGTCCAACCCCCCCGCAGTCAGCAGGGACACCCCCAACTAGACCAGGTTGCCCAGAAAGTACAATCTATAGTCATTTCCATCAACAGTCAAGGATGACAGGAGGTGCAAACAGGGGGCTTAACAAGACAAATATTTAGAAACTTTGGCAGACGAGACCTCTGCGTTGATAAAATCACGAGGGATAAACACAGTCCTGCTTGGAAGCTTTCTTTTGCTGCTATAATAGAGTTGGCACTGAGGCTGCAAAGAATCAAGTCGAAGGTCTCCCTGAGCAGGTCCAAGGCCACCAGTTTCCACAGCAGACAGAAGAGAGAGCGCACTGGTAGCGCAGCATCAAGTCTTGTACCTCTCTTAGGCTCCTTGGCCCAAAGGACCACGTGTCCACATATAACTGGGGACAACTTATTGTGTGACTTGACTGTGGAACTCCTCGTGAGTAGCACAACAGGGCAACCATACTGCCCAGCTCCACCAGGCCCTCCAGGGAACTCCAGAAGTTCCTGAAACATTATACAGGGAACATGGCACCCGTGTGGACCAGGATAATGAAGACACATTCCCCTCCCTAAAGAAATATACTTGCCAGTGATTATTTTTGAAGAGTTGTCTCCAGTCTTCAATACGGTACAAAGAACAGGTTATGCCACTCCGCAGCATCGTAACTTTTGGGGGAATTTTTTGGCCTGCCTATCTCTTTTTTTTTCATTTCTCAATAAGAGTGAAATTCCACAGGAGAAGAATCGGTAGAAATGTGAATCAGTGACATCTTTTTAACAACAGAAGTGAGTAAAGACAGCCAATTCTAATCATACCTGATGTTGAGAAGTCACCGAGATACCACCATCACAAACAGGGACAGTTTGGCTGCTGGTATAAACACCTGTAGATGAACAGAATTGTGGTTTGGTTCCTTATAATGGCTAAAGCAAAATGCAAGAGAACAGAGCTATTTTTCATGTTGAGTAAAAAAAAAGAAACAAACCAAAAAAAAGAAGTGGGATGATCATACAACCAGAGTGGAAATCATGCTGAAATTTCTGGCAACCCTGCCAAATATTTTAACAGTTTGATAATATAATCGAGCTATTATAAAAAAGAAAGATTTCTGGGCTGCCGTGGTTCAGAAACTGGGTTGATTTATTTGTTTTTGTTGAATTAGGCCTCAAGTAATAGCTCAGCAGCTGTTACAAAGATTGCTGAATATTTTGGAGTGTTGGGGTGTTCAATCTCAGTCCTATTTAATCGCTTTGTAAAGGTAAATAATGGGATTTTAATGCAGTTCTAAAAAGCATCTTGTGACTATTTCTTCCTCCAGGAAGACATAGAAGTACCTATACCAAGGTATTTCATTAAAGAAAAGCTGGAAGTCCTGCAGCAGAGGGAGAAAATCCTGGATGAGATTTTGCTGAATGCTGGATTGCAGACAGAGGTGAGCACACCACACACCTGCACAGCAGCAGGCTTAACTTTTTAAGTTTATTGCCCCGTGTCTGAACGCATGAGCCACTGAAGTGAAAAGTATTTTTAGAGCAGTTAGGAAGTAAAAATCTTTTTACAGATTAAGGCACCCAAAAAAAAAAAAAAGTAAGATTAAATTTTCCTCTGTAACAACACCCAGTCACATCTTGAGCCTGGTGAGGACCGAAATGAGTCGACTCTGCTTTATGTGTGCCTGAGAGTGTCAGGGAAAGGGCAGCACTTTGGCCAAGTTTAGTAGGTGCTTTATTTGTCTAGCTAACTCTCATCACATAATTAGTCCTACTGAAATCAAGTTTTATTGGACCGGGATTCTTTGCTGGAACAGGCCAAAAAAATCAGAGTTCGGGTCAGCGCAACTGTTAGTATTTAGTTGTTTATAACCTCTGAACAATGACTGCAGTCTCTTCTGTGCAGCTACAGAGCTGCAGCTGCTAGGAGGAGGAAAAAATTGAGTTTTAGCAGAGCAAAAGTCATTACAGAGAAGTGCCTGAGCACTCCAGTGATCTGGATTTGATAGACTTCTGGTTTTTTGGAAGTAGGGCATCGCCTGCAAGCGGTTGTTGCTAACCTCCTGAAATAAGCAGCTGTGCCTACCTGTCTGGATGACTTAGATTCATATTTAATATTATAATCATATATATATGCTTATATATAATATTATATGTAATATTATAATCATATATAGTATATATAATATCATAATCATATATAATATTCATATTATAACCGTAAGAGTCCACATCAGACCACTTGGTCAAACTGCCACGCTGTCCCAGTCATTGAATTCTCCACCAGTAATCGTGCTGGTGGGGGAAGTGTAGGTACTGGTCCCACAAAGTGATGGTGGGAAGGCTCCAGGGAAAGAAGCAGCACCAGTCAAACAGAGCACAGGTTCTCTGCTGGATTACTCTAATGGCAGCTGTGGTCCTCTTGGCCTCCCCAGTAAATCTCAGGCAAATTCTCTGCTCTTCTAACATTCTGACGTTTATCTGTGGAATTCTCTGTTTCAGCACGTTACATCTTGAAGCCTTTTTGTTTCCCCACTGCACTTACCTCTTTCCAGTATGGCATCCTTTACAGATGGGATGATCTGGTGTGCAGCCAGCTCACCTGAGAGCACCGGGCTCTTGCACTCTGGGCTCTGGCAGGGTCCAGGACTGCAACCACAAGAGAAACACAGAATCACAAGGGTGGGAAGGGACCTCTGGAGATCATCTAGTCCAACCCCCTGCCAGGGCAGGGCCACCCAGAGCAGGTCCCACAGGAACGTGTCCAGGTGGGGTTTGAATGTCTCCAGAGAAGGAGACTCCACCACCTCCCTGGGCAGCCTCTGCCAGGGCTCTGCCACCCTCACAGCAAAGAAGGTCCTCCTCAGCCCCATCTTCCTGACACCCTCCCTTGAAGTATTTATCAGCATTGATCAGATCCCCCCTCAGCCTTCTCTTCTCTCAACTAAAGAGACCCAAGTCCCTCAGCCTCTCCTCGTAAGGGAGATGCTCCAGGCCCCTCATCATCTTTGTAGCCCTCTGCTGGACCCTCTCCAGCAGTTCCCTGTCCTTCTTGAACTGGGGATTCCATGAACATGAATGAAATAATCTCATGCAGTATGAGTCCAGTACCCTGAATGTCTCCAGTCAGGGCATTAGCATCAAGAAAGGACAATAATTCAACTTTTCCATGAGGAGCATGAAGGGTTAACAAGAGTTCTCAGGAGTGAGAAGAGGGAGTCCCTCTCTCCAGCTGCACTGTTCTGATATATTTTTTCCCCAAGTGGGGAAAGTGGTTCTATTTGGGCCTGGGTTGACCAGACCTAGGCTTGCCCAGAACAGTCTATCCTTCCATTGAGCAAGAGAGCTGGGGTCCCAGCAGCACATCCAGAAACTCAGCTCTTCAGAAAAGTAAAAGGAAGACATTCCATAGCCTAAGAAATTCTCCTTTTAATAGGACAAAGTCCTATGGTTCCTTATGTCTTTATTTTCTCCAATAGATAAAGTTCACCAGGATGCATAAGCCATATAGAGCCATCCTTGCATCCCATTGTAGCCACCAGGCTTTCCTTGTCACGCATCAGCACGTCAGGTTCACTTTCTCCTAAAGGTCCTCAGAAAAACACATCTCTCAAGATAGCAAACTTCCAAGATATTGCAAGATAGCACTCAGACAGAAGTCTCTGCTGTTGGAGACAGGGACTTTTTTTGCCTTAAAAAGTTTCTGAAAGAAGTTCATTCCTTGTTTCGTTTGCTGAGGTTGGCACTTAACAAAACACATAACTCTAATACTTTGCTTTGTCCATCTCTTTTGGCTTGAAGAAACCTGTCAAGGCCATGACACTTGAAGAAGCCATTAAAATGATCCAAGTTGCAGAACGGGCTCGCCAAGGCCGTTGTCGAGCAGCATTCATCAAGCAAATCTACCTTGAAGATAAGAGAGCAGGACAAGCTAAGCAGGAGATCCAGATGGGTCCAAGTCCAGATGAGGCTGCCACTCGCATTCAAAAGGTGAAATCTCTCATTTGACAACAGTTCTGGTAGAACCAAATAATAATGTTTTGTTTAGAAGAACAGCAGTAGACAGAAACACAGCTTAGAGGGTGGGAAGCTTCCTGAAATGATAGCTTTCTGGACATCTAACAAGATGAAATACATCATTTAAACCCACTTAAGAAAATGAGACAGGACCCTACATGCGAGATCAATGGAAACAGTCCTGCACTGGCAACGTGGGATGACTTTATAACCTTCGTGTTGTTTTTCCATTCTGATTTTTATGACCTTAGTTGCTCTTTCTGGCATCCCTTTGGAATCCAGTGCATCTCAGGGAATTCATGCCTTTTCCTGTGATCTCCAGGGAAAGGGTTCGTTCCATATCTTGCAAAGATGAGAAAGGGAGATAGCTGCTAAATTCCAGAAAAAGTCCTTAACGCATGAATAATTCAGATAATTCAGCCTGATGAGAACAAGAGCTCAGTCTAAATACTTTTTAAACCCTGCTGATGTTGTATTTAGAAGCTAGATACACCAGCACGAAGGGGTAACAGCCCTCAGAATTTGTTCTAAATAAAAAACCTAGCAGATGGCAACCTGTTAAAGAGTAATAGTTTCAATTGTATATTGTGCCTTTCCTTCCTCTATTTGTTTTTTCCTGTGTCTGCCACCGTAAAGGAAGCTGTAACAAGGCCCATTTATCTCATTAGAGTTTTGTTTACAATTCAGGTTTGCCGTGGATACATCCAGCGCAAGAAAACAGAGAAAATGAGAGAAGAGGAAATGATATTTCTGGGGATGGTAAGCAGTGCTGCCTAGAGAATAGAAAATGCCACAGTCTGTTTGTTTTTCAGACTTTTGTAATTTAGCAGAAGAGGAGAAATTAATTTCTAAGATTCTTCCTATTTTAAAAGGAGTCTCTAAGGAACACAGAGCTAAACTGAAATGATGGATGGCACGGAAGTAGCACAGTTTGTCTTATCCTGCATGTGTATGTGCTGTATATACACAGCCCAATACATATGGCAGATGTGGAAACAGGCAGTGTGGAATTTGCCCCAGGTTCTAGGGAATTTGACCCTGGTATAACAGGGAAAGGAAATTTTATTAAATCGATTTTTAATTCATAATTCCAAGACCTGAGCTGCCTTATTCTTGAAGTAGAATTAAAGCAGCAAAGGCTTCTTCTCCCAACCCTTAGCAAGCCAGTGTAGATGTATGTCAAGAGAAGGGAGAAGGGACATTAAGACTGCCATATTAATAAATCAATATTTCCATAATTCCATATGGAAATAAGCAAAGTATTCCTTATGTCATGCTGCAAAAGTATAGGGAAGTGGACAGCTGTCCACGTTCAGTTAGACTGTGTGAGGTGAAAGGAAAAAATGAAAGCACCCCTCCCAGAAGAAGGGATGCTTTCCTCTCACAATCAGCGAAGGTACATCACCTCCTCCCACCAACATCTTCCTCCCTAGCCAGAAGATAAACTCTTTACAGTTTACACTTCTTTACACTTCTCTGGGCAGCCTCTGCCAGGGCTCTGCCACCCTCACAGGAAAGAAGTTCCTCCTCATGTTGAGGTGGAACTTCTTCTATTCAAGTTTGTGCCCATTTCCTCTTGTCCTGTCCCTGGGCACCACTGAAAAAAGACCAGCCCCATCCTCTTGACACCCTCCCTTTGAGTATTTATAAGCATTGATCAGATCCCCCCTCAGCCTTCTCTTCTCCAGACTCAAAAGACCCAAATCCCTCAGCCTCTTCTCATGAGAGAGATGCTCATGAGGCCCCTCATCATCTTTGTAGCCCTCTGCTGGACCCTCTCCAGCAGTTCCCTGTCCTTCTGGAACTGGGGAGCCCAGAACTGGTCCCAGTGCTCCAGATGGGGCCTCCCCAGGGCAGAGCAGAGGGGCAAGATGACCTCCCTCAAGGTGCTGGCCACACTCTTCTTGATGCCCCTCAGGATGCCATTGGCCTTCTTGGCCACAAGGTCACATTGCTGACTCATGGTCATCCTATTGTCCACCAGGACTCCCAGGTCTTTCTCCTCAGAGCTGCTCTCCAGCAGGTCACCCCCAACCTGTCCTGGTGCAGGGGGTTATTCCTCCCCAGGTGCAGCACCCTACACTTGCCTTTGTTGAAGTTCCTCAGGTTCCTCTCTGCCCAACTCTCCAGCCTGTCCAGGTCTCACCGTATGGTGGTACAGCCTTCTGGTGTGTCAACCACCTCTCCCTGTTTTTGTATCATCAGCAAACTTGCTGAGGGTACATTCCATCCCTTCATCCAGGTCATTGATGAATGTATTGAACAGTGCTGGACCCAGTGCTGACCCCTGGGGAATTGTCCTTAGCTACGTTATAGGTTTATGAAAACTAATTGTGTCTATAGCCTACACTTAACAAACATGTATTATCAGTTAAGAGTGATCTTAAAATCTTACCTATAGAAAGTAACTTGTACATTTACCAAAGTTTTGCCATGTTAAATATAGATAGGACCTTATGGATTATTGTCTTTAATTACTACTGGTCATTAACAGCAAATGTTGCCAGCATAGGTAATCAGAGCTTTTGGTGCCCATTCTGCCTCTGTTTAAGATCAAGAAAATTCCCACAGATTTTAATTAACTGCAAAACTGAAATAGTGAATATTTGGGATGTACTGAAGATTAATTAGAAATTATACCTTTAGCAAAACAAGGCATCATTTCCTATCAAATCCCACGACAGTTTCTGTTGAGTCTTAGAACTAGAGTTTTAGGAAGGAAATCTAAGCCTGGTATCAGTTATTGGAGGGTTCACAGCCAAGCACTCTTTTCATGGTGGCTGATGGTAGGAGTAACTGAAAGCTAGAATGTAAATAGCCTGGTTTATGGGGAGGAAATCCATATGATCATCGGGATGAAGGGAATTAAAATCAAACACATACAGTGTATTCCTTTCCTGACCTGCATTTAGGAGCAAGAGAATTGATGTTTGCATCTCTGCACTCAGACTCATTACTCCCTATCAAGTACATAATCAAAGGATGGAGGGGAAAAAATGGCTACCTCTAAATAAAATTTAAAAAAATCTGTTCATCTTTCTAGTGCTTTTAAATTCCCCGTTTGTGTTTCCCTTTTACTTTTCATGCTGCATTCCCTTCCATGGTCTCTCCAAAGGAAGTGAGTGGCAAGCAAGCATTGGTTCACACTGATAGATAGGCACTGAGCTCCAAAGGTCAAGTCCCTTTGATGTATGATCACGTCAGCCCTCTAAAAAATGACCACAAGAGCTTCATGTGTAAATATGTTGAATTTGCTTTTCTAATGCTGCACGACTTAGATAAATTAGAAGACCCAGCCATCCATTACTCCCAAGTCCATCCCAAAGGAGACTTGGCTTGGACCGCAATAAATATCATTTCTCTTATAGCTCTTATAGCTATTTTAAAAATGTCTATGTGCTTTTCATAGGGAGACTGCTTTGCAAAACTGCTTAGTCCATCTGAATTGTTGAATAACGGTGGGATTTTTTGAAAAAAATCAGTTGTGTTGGCCTAAAAAAATATAGGAGTATGTGCAACAAAGACCAGGAATTGTCCAGTCTTTTACTTAATTCAGTATTATTTTCTTTAGTGTCTACTTGCTTCAGAAAAATTTATATCTCTCTTCAGGAATTTGATTCTGTTTCATCTTTTGCTTGATGACAGAGTGGAAGCCTATGTTCCAGGGATTTTTCTTGGCTCAAAAGTAAAGGCTCATTATTATTATTATTAGTGCTATTTATGAAAGCTTAATTGCAGAAGCAGCATGATTCCCTCGGCACGTGTTTTTCTAGATCTCCGATAAATCTTCTTTAATTTGTAAAGAGAAGCAAGCCCCACTAAGAGCACATATATCTTGATAACTGTATCCTGACCTGTTTCCTGATCTTCCTCACGTTACAGCCACAATGCTGTTTACTACCAGCTCCAGCATGACCACGATAACCAATGTTTGAGGCACAATTCTGTGTTTAAGCCACGCTGATGGTGCAAAAAAAACACATTAAATTGTCTGGAAAACATGCACGTACAGTCCAAAAACCCCTATGTTTTCTTGCTCTGACTATTTTACCATTACAGCCCAATAACAACGTTCTGCCTTTCCAGTTTTTAAACCGGTGCGTAATTCCGCTCGCCTGTTTCTGACATTTATGGGTTCCCTGTCATTAAATGCCATCCTTGGAGGTTGCTGTGGTTGTTTCGTTTTGCTCAGTGCAAACTAGCTATCAGCCTGGGGTAACTGGAGGTGTGAACTGGTTTTTGGCAACCACAAAACAGCCCCAAGTCTAATAATGGCTCTACCCTCAGCGCTCTTGCTAGCAGAGTCTCGTAACTAGTCTCTCTACAACTACTTGAAAGGACGCTGTAGTTGTCTTTCCAGTTTTTAAACCGGCGCGTAATCCCACTCACCTGTTTCTGACATTTATGGGTTCCCTGTCATTAAATGCCATCCTTGGAGGTTGCTGTGGTTGTTTCGTTTTGCTCAGTGCAAACTAGCTATCAGCCTGGGGTAACTGGAGGTGTGAACTGGTTTTTGGCAACCACAAAACAGCCCCAAGTCTAATAATGGCTCTACCCTCAGCGCTCTTGCTAGCAGAGTCTCGTAACTAGTCTCTCTACAACTACTTGAAAGGACGCTGTAGAGAGGTTGGTGCTGGTCTCTTCTCACAGGTAATTAACAATAGAACGAGAGGGAACGGCTTCAAGCTCCAACAGGGGAGGTTTAGACTGAACATTAGGAAGGAATTTTTCACAGAAAGAGTGGTCGGGCATTGGAACAGGCTGCCCAGGGAGGGGGTGGAGTCACCATCCCTGGCTGTGTTTAAGGGACGTTTAGATGCAGTGCTGAGGGACATGGTGTAGGGGAGGACTTTGTAGAGTAGGGGAGATGGTTGGACTCGATGATCCCAAGGGTGTCTTCCAACCTCAATGATTCTATGATAAGAGGGGAGACCCTGCTAGAAGTTCTACTTAGCATCTCAGATGCTGGGAAGAGGAAGAGCTGGTTTTAACATCAAATGTTAGGATAACCCGTTTGCAATCAGACCGATTTATGGAAGGGTTGGAAGAGCTCAGGACAGAGGAATGCAAAAACAAAAAGACAAAAATGCATCCCAGTTTAGGGGCTCTCAGCCTACTGTTGCAACTTTGAGGCAGGAGTACTTTGAAGGACATCCCCTTGCTCGTGTTTTCACTTAACGAGCACAAGTAATCGATGCCATTGGAGCCATTGGTGCTCCACATGCCTAAACAATTTCTAGGACCGAGCCCTGTATCCTTTGGACACGTAAACACCTTATTGTCTCACAGACCCATGTGTTGATTTACAATTACATAGCTCTCACATCATTCTATTCCATAATTTCAACCCTTAACAAAGAGAAAGTGGCACAAACCATGCTGATCTATCATTTTCTCATGTAATATTTCCACCATTCTTCCTTCTTCTATACCCTTTTCACATGAAAAGATCTATGCGGTCTGAAATAAAACAACTGTTCTCTCCTCCTTACCTCTTTTAAACATACCCTAATTTAGGCATGTTGTCTTGGATAATGCTTTTATTTATATCTGAGAAAACAGCCTGCCAAACATTCCTTGTTCTTTGAATTCCTGATAAATATAATTCATTTCATCCAGTCAGAAAAAAAAATAAAAAAATAAAAAAATTAGCATATCCCAGAATAGGCTTCTGTGTAAACATTGTAGGTTATGGCTAAATAAATATTATATGGGAATTAACAAACTGCAAAATCCATAAGCAAGTGAAATTTGAAATA